AAATACCCCCAAGGCTGTGTGAGAATCAGATGAGAGTGTTGGTGAAGGTGCTCTGAATTTCAAGTCAAGTACTGGTTAGGAAGTACACACGTAAAGAAAAATGTAACCTGGATGGGACAGTGTATTCCTGATAAGGAAACCTGTTGCTGGCTGCAGTTGCAGGGGAGCCTCTGCGGGTTAGCACCGAGGGGCAAGGGGGGAAGCAGCCCACCTTGGCTTCATGGTTCTTGCTCTCCTCCCTTGAGGAGGACGAAGAAAGGACAGTGGGTATCCAGCACTAGAGTGCATGAGCTGGGTATCTTAAAAATGCCAATCACAGGGGGCTCTACTTTGCAGCAATCCTGATGGGGCTGGGGGTGGGTTGTCCATAAAGGGACCAGAGACTTCAGAGTCATCTTCTCAGGAGGGGCAACTTGAGGGAAGGGAGGAAGCTGGGAGAGGAGGTGAGTACAGGCAGGGTTTGGGTGCTGGGTGGAGAGGGAATAGGGTTTAGGAGCCCCCCACCCCCCGCCCCGGATTGAGTAGAACCTATGGAAAAGCCCCCCTCTCCCATTTCTTTTCTGTTCCTCCTGCCCTCCCTCCTGCTGCTGAGCACTAGGGGCCAGGCATTGGGGTGGGAGCAGGGGGCATCCCCTCCCTACTTTCCCAAGGCCCTGGACTTGCTGGTGTGGGGCCACCCAGAGGAAAAGGACAAAGGCCAAGACTGGCCTTAGAGAGCTGTGGCTAGGCTAGAAGGAGGGGTGTCAGAGGGAGCTGAGCTGGGGCGGACCTCGGGGACCTCACCTAGGGGTGTGCTGCACCAGGCTGCTTGTAGATGGGGTGGGGTGGGGGACGTGTCTAATTTGCACTAAGTAAGTGGGGACTCGATTTTTGGAAAAAAAGAAAACAACCCACAAATCTATTACATACATAAGTGTGTGTATGTGTATCCATCAATCAAAGCACATTCAACTTAATTATGTAGACATGATTTAGATTATTTCAGTTTCCTCCTTAATTATATCACGTTGTATCCATTCATTCAGCAAACATTTGAATTGAGCTCTGTGCTCAACTATGTGCTCAGCTTTGTGCTAAATACTATAGTATAAACTTCAGTAAAACATTGTTTTTTCCCTCAGAGAGTTACATTCTAGTTTGTTTAAAGGAGATTCTAATAATAGGAGAAGAACAATTTTCAGTGAAGAGGCTGTTCATCCCATGAAACTAAAAATTGATATAATGTGACATATAATCTGGTACAAAATTTCTTTAATCAGAAAGTGGTAGGAGTGTCCAATTTAGTTTCAGAGTGTTGGTAATTTAGCTGCTTCCAGCAAAACATAAGAGCCTTTCAGAATTCTCAGCCATAGGATTGCAATCTTTTGAATTAGATTACAGAGCAAACCTTCTTTCCTTGAACACTTTTTTCTTATGGGATAGGCTTGGATTTTTGAAAGTTTGTTTTTTTTTTTTAATGTTCTGATTAAAAGAAAAAAAACACGCTATATTTACCATGGTCCCTTAGAATGACAAAAAATAGCATATGTATTAAAATGGAAAAAAGGGATTATCAATTTTGTGACACTCCCAAAGGACTATAGACGGGGTTGATAATCACTGGACTAAATTTTTTTTTTTAAAGATTTTATTTTATTTTATTTTGACAGAGAGAGACCCAGCGAGAGAGGGAACACAAGCAGGGCGAGTGGGAGAGGGGGAAGAGGGTTCCCGCCGAGCAGGGAGCCCGATGAGGGGCTCGATCCCAGGACCCTGGGATCATGACCTGAGCCAAAGGCAGACGCTTAACCGACTGAGCCACCCAGGCACCCCATCACTGGACTAAATTTAGAGAAAATCATTTATAATCTTTTCGGTAGGCAAGAAAGCAAGAAAAGCTCTTTAGGGGTGCCTTTAGGAGTTTTTGTCATTTTATGTCTTTATGCTTAAATTATATGCTCACAAGGCAGTATCTGCTTTACTGGGGCTTTCATTTTCAAATGACATATATAGATATACACACATGCACACTTATTTCAATTTTGAATAAATTACTCTTGATCTTAGCCAAAAGGCCGAGAAGCGATCAATTTTGAATAAATTAAAGCATAACTATATATTTTTCTTTTGGGGGGGCAGGAAGAGAGGGGGAGAAGGACAAAGGGAGAGGGAGAAAGAGAATCTTAAGCAGGCTCCACGCCCAGCATGGAGCCCCACACAGGGCTCGATCTCACAACTCTGAGATCATGACCTGAGTCGCAATCAAGAGTAGGATGCTTAACCGACTGAGCCATCCAGGCACCCCATAACTCTACATTTTTATATAAAAATTGGTAGTTTCTGTAAAACATACTGCTTATGTCAGTAGATGAATTGCAACTTTTCCTCCCTTTTATCTTAAGAAAAAAAAAAAGGAGGGGAATAAGACACTTTAGGGTAAAGGGAAGCCTGGCTTTTGTCTTATTACCCACCCACCCCCATCCTCCTCAAGAGGCTATGGCATGTATGGCTTTCTTGTAAGAGTTCTTGTCCTCAGCTTCCCTTTCTCTGTCTACTCATTTTGTTTACTTATGCAAGTTACTCAAGTTAGTTCTGGAAAAGCACTTAAAAAGTATCTGGCATGTCATAAGAATGCAAATGTTAGCTGCTTTATTATTATTACTACTAAATTGAATGGAACAAAGGAATTAAAAATACTGGGCAGATTATGAATTGACCCTGGAGGTTATGAAAGAGCTAGGTTCAAATGCCTGGAACTCTAAGAATTGTTTAGTGCTTCAGCGATTGAATTAAAGGAAGGCACCAAAGGCCACTTGGTACCTTTGTTCTTCTGAGGAATTGTGGTATTCTGAGGAAGTACAGAGGTGATGGCCTTGAGAAATCCTATTTATCACTCTAGAATTGTGAAGGTTAAAGGCTAAAAGCATATGTGAAATGTATTGCCAATGAAGTCAGTAGAAGACCAGATGCCCTCTTTTGCCAGAATTACTTAGTATTATTCTAGAAGTTTATTATTGTCAAATGAGAAGAGGAAACTAATAGCAAATTTATAATATAGGAGCAAAATTATCATTTTTAAATAATATTGTTCAAAATAGAGGATTGAAGATGACAAGCCAAAAAATATAAGAATTAATAATAGTTTAGTAAATGAGTAAAAAATAAATATATTGCATAAATAAACTTCAAAAATAAATACATTAACAATATCTAACAAAGTATAATAAAAGATTTCATGGATCTTAGTAGAAAAAATGTTAAGCTTACAAGAAAAGACTTAAGAAATATGAATTAACTGTATAATAACTATGAATTTTCCTGATAGGATTTTTGTCAAGGCAATTGAAAAGGAAGTTGAGTAATTGAACCCATGTTTATGGGTATAAAGATATGGATTCATATCGTTAACATGTGGATTCTTTCCAAATTAATTTATAAATGAAATCCCAATTATAATCTCAAAGGGATTACCAAAGTATGTGTGTCAAGTGTTGTGTATGATAAAGATGGCATTTACATTCTGTGAGAGAAGAATGGTTTATTCAGAACATGATAGATTATTGAGAAAATAAAACCCAAACTTCATTATTGCAGGGTGAAGTGTTTAAAGGCAGAAACCAAAAAGGAAATGGATGGTAGATTTGTCAACAAGAAAAAATCGAAAATTTGAAAGATCAAAGTACCATATATAAGCAAATGTCACATGACAAACCTAGTTAAATATTTGCAGTTGTAGTGATCTAGAAAGAGTAACTTTTGTCTTGTATAACCATTAATATCTCCTAGGTAAAGTGTATTTTTTAATTTTTAAAAATATAAATACTTCTTTAAGAATAAGACAATAAGATCTAGACTGGTTTTCATTTCTAAGAGCATTTTCATAGTTCAATTCCTCATTAGTTATTTAATCAGAAGTCTGCAATAAGTTGAATCTTGTGGCATAAGAAAATTGTTATTTTCTGGATTCATCTTAATATGTTTTTTGTACTTGGACAGGAAGCAACTATTGATTCTCCTATGAGACTGATTTTATTATTAGCTTGTTTTCTCTTCCTTACCTTTCTTCCTTTTACCCTGATGAGAGAAAACTCTAAAGGCCTCAGATATAAGGGAAGCCATTTTAGATTTCTTTCTAAGTCAGCATGACTCTACATAAACTTGGTTTATACCAAAAGCCTGATATATGGCCTGCCATGCATACATTATACACCTGCTTTGTAAATGAGTAGCCTAAAGGAAAGCCATCTTGTCTTTAAGATATCGATCAATGCTCCTACTCCTATATACCTTGACATTAAAACTCGTGTTGCCTGCCTGTATGCTAATCTATAATCTTTTGAGTTTTTACAAGATGTAAAAAAGTATGTTACCCTGTAAAAACTGTTTATTCTACAAAGCACTTTCTTCCCTGTGAAGAGTGTGCTTCCTGGGCAGCTGTCCTAACTTGGCCTCCAGTAAAACTCTTTTCTTACTTTTAGAGATTCTAAAATGTTTGCTTGTTTTGCGTCAACAACCCCTCCATCTCTTCCTTATGTCTTTACTTATTTCACTTTAAATTTGTTTAAAAAATAGTAAAATTTATCATAAAAGTCCAGATATTGCAGCAATATATAAAAAGTGGCATGCTCTCATTTTATTCGTCCCCAGGCCTGCGCCCCGAGGTCACCATATTTCTTGATTCTAGAGTTACTTCTCACTGCTGGTTCTGTCCCTCTGGCAGTTCTATTTGTGGAAATTTCCACCTGAGCGTTCCTTGTGTAGTTTTTGGCAAATAATAGGCCCCCATTTTGTTGAATGACTCAGTGAATGAAATTTGTAGATATATGCCTAATTCTTTTATAATCCAGGCTGTTGGATTTTAAGCATAGCCCTGAGGTTTCTTTCACAGAGTCACTCTTCTTTCCCCAATTGCTAAGAGTCCAACACTACACATCCCAAATGCTTATCTTTATAATGCTTTTCTATAAAGTGAAAACATTTCTTTATGCTAACATAGTAATTTAAATTTCTTTTTCTTTCAGCTACCTTTGCAGCAGTGTTGCACTGGTAAGATTTTTTTTCCTCTGGTATATTTTATGCAGATGTTTACAACTCACCAAAGGTATTTCCCATAAATATAAAGAAATAATTTCAGTATGATAAGGATGAATATATATATTACATGCAACACAATAGTCTGAAAAAGTAGTTTAACTGATAAATCAAGGTCAGAATAATGCAATTTTTTAATAAAAAAAAGATCCATTATTAAAGAGGTTATATTTGAGACTGTGTTTCACTTAACGTTAACATAGTGTTCATGTTGAGAGGAAGATTAATTTTTTTAATCTTCTGGATAGAATGAAATATGAATTTCATTAATCAGACATTTCTGAAATGGTAACCCAATGACATTTATAGTTCAATTTATAATTGTATTGTACTTGACTGAAAATATTCTTATTCTGGTTCATTCTAATTTTAAAATCTAATTTGAATGTGTTTCCTATTAGAAATTTTAGTAGAACTATTACAGCATACAGAGTGGCAAACAGATATGGATACCATTGTATTTGAGTTTTATTACAAAATTGTGTGCAAATTTCTGGATACCTTTATTTTTGCTTGTAGAGTTTCTTTTAAAAAAATACTTAGTATAAGCGTCAACACTTGGTTTGTTACCCTTTTGTTTCTGCAGGAGCCATATAACACACCTCTTTGAAAATGATCGTCACTTTTCTCACCTCTCAACATTGGAAAGGGAGATGGCTTTTCGCACTGAAATGGTGAGTTTTCATGTGATATTTTCGGGTTCTAAAAACTTTAAGCTTTTTATCATGGAAATTTTCAAAGATATACGAAATACAAAGAGTAGACACCTCCCCTTGCCTATCCCCCAGCTTCAACAACTGGACACAGCCATTTTTCCTTCGTATACACCTCCACGCATAGGAAACCTCAGACATCATATCATTTCATCGGTAAATACTTTCATATGTATCTCAAAAGAAAGGAATTTTTTGTTACCCACAGTTCTGTTGGCAAACTTGAAAACAATGAACAGCAATCACTTAATATCATTAAGTATCAATCAGTGTTTAAATGACTGATTGGCTTTTTTTTTCTTTTTACAGTTGGTGTGTTGGTAGGCTTGAATCAGGATTGAAGCCATGTCTGTACGTTGTGTCTAGTTGATGTGTCTCTTAAGTCTTTTAATCTATAAATTCCACTTCCCATTTTTATTGTTTTGCTATTTATTTATTGAAGAATCCAGGTTATTTGTCTTATAGAATTACCCATAGTAATTCATGTTATTTATTATGTTCCACTGGCCCAAGTTTCCTGAAAATTGATAGATAAGAGACTCGATAGCTGAAGGCTCTTTTTTTTTTTTTTTTGGCAGGAATATTTCATAAGTGGTGTGCATTTATTGTACCGTACAAAGAGGCACCCATATCTGGTTGTCTCACTGTGATGTCAAGATTGATCAGTGGCTTTAGGTATTGCCATGTTGGTTCTTCCATTATAGCCTAGCCATCAGCCTAGATCAGTTAGTTCATTAAGATTACCAAGTGGTGATTATCTATTCTATTATTTTTTCCCTGCATTTATTAACTGTAATTCTTATGTAAAGAAGAATTTTCCCATAATACTTATTTGGTTTCTCTGATGTACACTTCATACAGGTAAGACAGGTGAATGCTTGATTTTTTCTTTTTATTTACTACTTTCTAGAAAAATGAGTTGGTTTCCTAGCATTTTCTTCTGGTAACCAATGGAGTTCCTTCTTTTGGAGTATATCATTATGATCTGGTGGATTTTAGCATGTTTTGTGAAGTTACCTGTCTTTAGCTGGTGAGAAACTTTGCTGCTGACTCCGTGTCCCTTTGATGTGACCTCACTAGTATTCTGTAGCTTTCTTACTTTCTGGTACTATTAAGACATTTCTGGGGCGCCTGCAGGGCTGGCTCAGTTGGTTAAGCGTCTGCCTTCGGCTCAGGTCATGATCCCAGAGTCCTGGGATCGAGCCCCGCATCGGGTTCCCAGCTCAGCAGGGAGCCTGCTTCTCCCTCTCCCACTCCCCCTGCTTGTGTTCCCTCTCTTGCTATCTCTCTCTCTGTCAAATAAATAAAATCTTTAAAAAAAAAAAAGACATTTCCTCTCCAGACCTGGAATCATCCAGTTTTCCAAGGAGCCCCAATTCCTTTCAGTGGCAAATGGTATTTAGAGACCACAAATTTGGTGCTAGAGATGCTTATTGCTACTACAGTTGACCCTTAGGACAACAAGGGGTTAGAGGTGCTGACCCCATGCAGTCCAAAATCCACATATAACTTTTGACTCCTCCCAGATTTAACTATTAATAGCCTATTATTGACTGAAAGCCTTACCGATACCATAAGCAGTCGATTAACACGTATTTTGTATGTTACGTGTATTATATACTATATTCTTTCAACAAAGTAAGCCAGAGAAAAGAAAATGTTATTAAGAAAATCATAAGGAAGAGAAAATAAATTTACACTACCATACTCTATTGAAAAAGTCAGTGTGTAAGTGGAGTTGCGTAGTTCAAACCTGTGTTGTTTTAGGGTCAGCTGTATTTGATACTAGATTGGCCAATGTGTCCCAGCCTTTTTAGTAAACAGAATTAAGAAACAGTTTTTAAATTATTAATTTATATTCATATTTTAAAATTCAAATTTAGGATTAGATGGTTTTTACTTACTTTGTTTTAAATTTGTATCTTTACTGCTAGCCCAGGAATCTTGGTTTCATATTACTTATTTTTGTGGAATAAAAGTACCAAAGGTATTATTAAAAATAAGAGGATTGAGAACATTTTAAGACTTTCTTACATTTCTTTTTGACTTTAGGATATATTCCATTAGGATGTACAGTAGAATTACTATATCTTAAGGTTATTTGAAATCTTCTTCCAACTTGATAGTTAATTTCTTTATTTTATTTTTATTTTGATATTTAGGGATTTAAAAATTTTCATTTTATAATTAAATAAGAAGTTTACATGTTTCCAAAACAAATCTACAAAACAAGATAGGTTGTGGTGGTTTTCTACGGCTGCCATAACAAATGTACAATAAACTAGGTGGCTTAAAGAGCAGAGATTTATTCTCTCAGAGTTCTGGAGGCTAGAAGTCTGAAATCAAAGTGTTGGCAGGGTCATGTTCTTACCGAAGCCTCTAGGGAGAATCCTTCCTTGCCTCTTCCTAGCTTCTTGTGCCTTCTGGCAATCCTTGGTGCGCGTTGGCTGGCGTTGGAAATGCCATCACTTCAAGCTCTGCCTCTGTCTTCATGGGGCACTTTTCCCATTGTCTCTGTGTTTAACTTTCCCTCTTATTGTAAGGATACCATTTATATTAGATGACCTCATTTTGACCACATCTGCAAGGAACCTAATCCACATAGGTTCACATTCCCAGGTTCCAGTGGATATGAAATTTGGGGGGATATTATTCAACCTAGTACAGTAGGAAATATTTTAAAAAATAGCGATAGGAAAGCTAAACACCATAATATCAAGAACCATTTTTTTCCTTATCTATAAATATTGGGCATGCAAATCGCTTTCATATTTATGAGCCTTAAATCCAGTGTGGAGTTTGACAGCTGATGGGTGCTGGCTACCAGAGCAGCTCTAGGCAAAATTGTATAGAAAGTGAGCACCCTGCACTTCCACTTCCACTCCCTGACCAGGGCAGCAAGTACTAGTACTTGCTTATTTTTTGGTCTGTGTATTATTCCAACCTCAATATCTGTCCTAATTCCCTCAAAACGAGAGTACCACTACTGTCTTCTTCCCCTATCCACACAGCCCCAGTCCTCCAGGGTTCTTCCCTTATTCTGAGCTGGGAGGAAGGAAAATAGTCTGTAAAATTAGTTGGCATCTGGATGTACCTTATATGTAATATATCAGCATGGAGCCTTCCTAATATATTTGCATTTTTACATGTAAATCTGGAGGAAAGATGACTGATAGCACCATTTTGGGGATTCAGATGGGCAGTAGGGGGAAACATTTTTGGCTAGAGAGATTTCTTGGATCACGGTAACTTAAGTTCCATAGTAAACCACTCACTTGCCCTGTTCATAAGATAGCCTTTTCTAACACTTAAATTAGTATAGGATATGGAGTTTTCTTAAGTTGCATAGGTTGTCTGAGTTATATATATTACTTTTTAAATGTTGAAACTATTTTTGAAGATGTTTCGAGGTCAATTATTTTAATTAAGACAAGGTTATACTAAAATATGTAGTTCTTTTTTATAACCTAAGATTGTATTAGTGTTCAGAAACCATGAGAATAATTGTAGCTATTATTTGCTTGATTGTTTTTCAAAAACAGTCTAAGTTTTTTTAAGCTGGCAAGAGGCATAGGAATTACGCATTTTTTTATTATAATTATAACTTACGCTTGTTTCAGGGACTATATTATTCCTACTTTAAGACTATTGTGGAAGCACCCTCATTTTTGAATGGAGTATGGATGATTATGAATGATAAGCTGACTGAATACCCCCTTGTTATTAATACATTAAAAAGGTTCAATCTTTACCCTGAGGTAAGTTACTTTTTCAATTGTGTTTTTTCTCTTTTTTTACTTTTTTAAAGTGTTATTTGCATTAAATGCTGATTCTAAATGTGAGATGTAATTCAATATATTATATTTCATCTCATTTTTTAAAGAAGATGTGTATCTTTTCTTGGAAAGGAATATGGAAAAAAGATTATTATTAATTTTGGTGGGCTTTAACTGATTTCATGGAAACTGTTACGATGGCATGGTCTAGAAAGGTTGAAAACGGTCTAGATTCGGTGCGTAGAGATTATAGCAAGGAAGCACCATTACATGTCATTTGCCAAATAATGTTTCTTCCCTCTTGGGGATTCTTCACTTAATTGAATGCTCTTTTTTTGGGTGGAGTGGGGGAAAAGGGGGTCCACTCAGGAGGTGAGGGAGGAAGGCAGTGATATCAGTAACTTTTTGGCCTCTCCTTTACCATCCCTGCCTTTATTTGACACATCCCTGAGCATTTTCCAGGGCCAAGTTGAGATCCTCCTTGACTTGATATGAGGGTCATCTTTTAATACACTGTCCCCGTGACTTCCCCTTCTTAGCTTGCTGATGTTGCTAGACAGCACGTCCTTGTGCCAGGGCCCTGGCTGCCTTGGTCTCTGGGGATCTCAAGCCCAGGCTCAGTACCTGGACTTAGTAGGGCTCTCAGGCATTTCCCATTGAATGAGAGAAGTCCAGCTTCCATCTAGATTGGTGAGTTAGCTGATTGATTAATGAGGAGATGGAGATAGAGACAAATACATAACCACCAAAGTTCAGTGTTGGTTTCCTGATGTACTGCTTATTGAGTTCTTTCTATGACCATGTACACATTTGCTATGGGATAACACAGCAAATATTTTTTTTTATAAGTGCTTTTTGTCTTTTAGAATATTTGTAACAGTCTTCCTGTGTCATCTTTTCTTCCTCAGGATCAGTTTTAGTGGCTATATATAGTCTCCCATTGTTTATTTAGTCCATCTTTTGTGAAAATATTCATTGTTTTCAACTTTTAAAATATCCTGAAGCTGCCATAAGCATCCTTGAAGCTAAATCTCTGTACATATCCTTGTTTTTTAAACTATAAATTTGTTGTTGTGGAACTATTTAGTTAAACAGAATATATACTTTAATGATTTTGGTACGTGTTGCCAAAATGCTTTCTAGATAGGTTATACTAATCAAAATTACCATTGGCAGTGTTTTTGAAAATGCTTATATCCCCGAATCCCTGCCAGTTTGGTAGACAAAAAAATTAAAATCACATGATATATTTTGTTCATTGCTATATATGTGTGTTTATATGTATTTCATTCAATGCTATGCATTAAAAATGCATTTTTAATTTTAAAAGTAATTGCTTATGCCCTTTGTCTATATTTCTATTAAAATTTTGTAAGAGCTCGTTTATTACATGCTAGATATTAATACCATGCTATATGGGTAAGCATTTTCCCCCAGCTTTTTGTTCGCCTTTCAACTTTGTGTGTGATCTGTATGTATTTTTTCTGTACAGAAATGCCATATCTATTCACATCTTGAGAAATTAGATCTATTCAAGAAGACAGAATATCTGTTTGTTCAACTCTTTTATGTACCTTAGTAGAATTTTATACCTTTTGAAAAATATGAATCTTGTGTGTTTCATGTTATATTTTATTCTCACCCATGGGTGGAGAGTTGAAGACTGACCAATGAAGAATCTGTGCAGGGGATTGTGAGGCTGATTTTACTAGATTTAATGGGAGCTAAGTAGATCGTAGAGGAAAGGAAAATTTGATAATTATCAAGATATCTCAAAAATATTCTAGTAATGAAACTGTTGATGATAATACCTTTTCTCTAAAAAAATCTCTAAAAAAAAAGTCTCTATTTTTTAAAAAATAGGTAATCTTAGCCAGCTGGTACCGGATTTATACCAAAATAATGGACTTGATTGGTCTTCAAACCAAGATATGTTGGACGGTGACCAGAGGAGAAGGACTCAGTCCTATTGAAAGCTGTGAAGGCAAGTTTCTTTCCATGATATTGTCCAGTTATTTATTGGAGCACATTAAACTTACTGCAAACTTAGTGATATAAATAACCATATTTATTATGCTTATGGATTCTGCAAGTGAGGAATTTGGGCTGGGTATAGCAGGGTTGGTTTGTTTCCACCATGTCAGAGGCTTCCGCTAGACTCAGGTGACTTGGGAAGACTGAAATTAATGGAGACTGCTTCACTTACATTCTAACTCCTGGGCTGGGGTCCCTGTGAGGCTGGGCTCAGTTGGGACTGTCAACTGGGACACCTACATAATGCCCTTTCCATGCACCATGGGCTTTTGTATAGCATAGTACCTCAGGGTAGTCAGGCTTTGCATGGGCTCCAAGTTGGACACTGCTTGGCCTCTTCTAGCCTTAGAAGTCACATGGTATGGCCTCCACCATCGTCTGTTGAGGCAGTCACAAGCCCAGCCGGGCTCAAAAGCAGGAACAGAGACCCCCGTACCTCTATAGGAGGCATGTCCGTGAGTTTGTAGCCCTGTTTAAAAACCACCGCAGCTACTGCCATGTTCTCATTTTTGTTCCGTAGTAGGGTCACGTGTTTGTATGGGAACCAAGGCAACCATTTAATATATCTGTGCCATTTTCAAAATAAGCACATTTTAATATAAATTGCCAGACACACAAAGTAATTTATAGTTAGAACATGTTTTTTTTTTTTTTTATTTTTAAAGGATTGGGAGATCCTGCTTGCTTTTATGTTGCTGTAATTTTTATTTTAAATGGACTAATGATGGCATTATTCTTCATATATGGCACATATTTAAGGTAAGACCATTGAGAATATTTTGGTATGTGTTATAATATTATGTATTAAAATAATAAAAATAGTGAGATAAAGATTAACTTGCAGTTCAGTTTTATAACAGTATTATTTCTAATACATCTAGATACAAAATTCTTTCCTATTTGGATGATTTCACCATTGGCATAGTCTGCCAAAGTTAAAATAATTTTAGATGCTTAAATAGAGAATGGTGGGGATATTGGATAAATTTTAAATATTCACAGGCTTTTGAGCATAAGCAGTATATTGTTTACACAAAATACAAGGAAAGGACCACTCATTATCAAATGGTGTTAATGACTCTATTTTGTTGACATTAAAATGGAAATATATTCTATACAGATATTTAATATCTGACCTGATCAACTTCATAGTCCAGCAATATTCCTTAAACTAAAAAGATTGACAAATTTTTTAAGGGTTTTTATGTTTCTTTTTCTTCTTTTTTTTTTTTTGACAGTTTGTTACATTGTATACTTGTTTGAACTATTTTACCTTGAGAGTATCTTTAGAATTTTCTTTTTTTATTGCTTACTGATTCCTTGTTAGTACAGAAGTGTGAGCATAGGTATATGATTTTCAGTTTGGGTTAATGAGTTTGAATCTGCTATTATCCCATTAGCTTTGTTTTGGAAGTATGGCATTTTCAGCTTACTACCTCAAAGATCTACTGCATCCCTGGCTCAGTGTTTGAGCAGATAACGGTTACTTGATAAATATTTGTCAAATGAGAAAGTTATTAGAAGATCAATTTAGAGTATATTTGCATATAGATTTAAGATACTTTGATACTAATATATCTGATTTAGCTATAAGAAAGTTCTTTTAATTATATAACTGGGGAGACTGAAATGAAAATGCATGATTAAAAGATGAGGTGGAAAATTTTGTTTTTGAAACAAGACACACAGATAACCAAAAGTATATGGTAATCAGAAGAGGAAGCTGACTTGAAAGAAAGCAAGGCCAGTGTGTCTTGTATCATGATGAGCCAAAGGTCTCTATCTTGGGGGGGAAATCTATCATTCTGCTAAGTACTAATGGATAGCTTTACTACATTTGAGAGATTTGATTTTGAGTAAGAGAAGTTAAAATATGGAACATGGCAGTGTTGCCAAATTACTGATCTATAGTTATGCTACTTTTTGAAAGAAGAATTGAGATTGAAAGAAGACTTTCTAAACATTTATTAAACATTCAGTATCATTTTCTTATAATGCTTGTTATAACCATCGTTTCAAAGGCCAAACAACATCTGCTGCAGAGAGTATGATGTTCTGGTTTTGATTGAGAGGTTCTAGGTGGTTTGGGCCCTGACCTAAGATTTCTCAGTCTTCAGCCCCAACAGTCCCCAGACAGCAGTTTTCTCCCTGCATAGGAGATACATGTGCATTTGTCCAGTCAACATAAAGTACAGACTGAGTGGCTTCTTTTGGAGATGGTGTGCTTGGGTTTTGAAAGCATGTGGTGGGGTGAGGTGGGAGCTGGAGGTGGTGCTGGGTGTGTGTCAATGGGGGACAGACAGCAAAGATAAAGGGCTTATAATGCTGGGGCAGGAGAAATTTGTTCTGTGTGGAGGGTTGCTTTAACTGTGCCTTGGAGGGTCAGAGCGTTTTGGATAGGTTGGGGAGAAAAGAATCCCAGGGAGAGGCAAAGGTGGACATCCTGGGATGTGGAAAGCGGATCGGTTTTGCTAGGATGCAGATTATTGAGGGCCGTTGTAGAAGATGAAGACTGAAGAAATGGGTTGGGCCGGTTGATGAATGACCTTGGCTGGTCTGAAACTATTCCAAAGCCAGTGAGAGAAATCAGAAATTTGACCAATAGAGGGACAGGATTCAAGCTGAACTATGATCTCATGAGACCCTTGAATTCACCTGTCACTGAAGTTAGCCAGTGACTACTTGAGCATGCTGTCTGCAAAACCGCAGGGTGATTTTAGAACCAATTTAGTGGCTTTGGACCAGGATTTTTTTTTTTTTTACATGAAAAAGAAAAGATTATAAATAACAGTACACAACACTTTGTAAGATAGGTGTTATTTAGAGAAACTTGTATTTGTTGATTGTATATACATGTCTACATGTGCATGTGCTGAGTTGTAGTGTAAAGTCTCACTTCTTGTAGTTTGAGTGTCAAAAAATCTGTAGATCACTGCTTAGGGTAGCAGGAGGAGTGACTTTGCCTTAAAAGCATTTGAGTCTTGGGGCACCTGGGTTGCTCAGTCAGTTAAGTGTTCAACTCTTGATTTTGGCTCAGGTCATGATCTCAGGGTTGTAAGATCGAACCCCGAGTCTGGCTTTGTGCTGGCTGGGTGTGGAGCCTGCCTAAGATCCTCTCCCTCCCTCTTCCCTCTGCCCCTCCCCTCCTGCTCCTTCACTCTCTCTCTCTCTCTCAAAAAAAAAAAAAAGGCATTTGAGCCTTTCCAAATAGCTGTTTTTGGTTTCTCTTCCTGGCTCCGAGGGATGCAACCTGTTTCAGCTTTACCCACTTGACTGCTCTGGGCCCTAGCTGGCCCTTCGGGTGTCCTTGACCCCTTAGCCCCCCCGGGGTGGTCTGCCTTACGCAGCTGTGCTTGGATGTAGACACTGCAGTGGTGGCACATGTTTTCATTTCTCTAGCTCTCCCTTTGCTCTGTTTGCGAGTGTTTTTTTTTAACCCTGAATAATCACTTTAGCTCTATCCAAACACATCCTAAACTTGTCTCCTCCCAGCCCCAAAAGAGCATCCAGTTCTCCTACATTATAGAGCCCCTTGTATTCTAGGGAGCCTTGACTATTGCACTGTGCCTTGAGGACGGGTGTGTAAATTAGATTCCAGTGGTGATCCTGGTTTATATTGTGTTGAATAAAGTCTTCTGTCACTTCTTTTCTATCAGTCTTTTTCATCATATTTTAAAATGTTCTTGACATGAGTATTTTTTGAGGTCTCAAATTGCTAGGTAGTTCTTACTGTTTTCTTCCTTGGTGGTTAGTTTTGTCACCCTTCTAACTTTGTGAAGTGGGATGAAGCTGCAGACTTCTTAACATGTGGGTTAAGAATAAAGAGGAGGATATCTAGAATTGTGGTTAGAATCTTTTTATAAGTTGTATTATATAAATTTACAGGCAGATTGAGTATAACATTTTACTCCAGAAGTATATTTCTTTTTAAAATAGTACAGATATAAGCTTTTCTGAAGTCAGATAAGCCAATCCATTTCACAAAAAATGAAAGTGGAAGAGAAAATAGAAAACACAGCCAAATGGTGAAATGGGGCTGGGGTGCCAAGCTCTGACTTGAGGAGATGAAGTCAGATGTTTTTGCAAACACAACCTATTCATGCTGTACCTCTTTTTCTGGAATTCTCAGTATTTTGGTATTTTTAAAAATAAAAATTAAAAAAAAACATTGTTAATTATTTTCTAAAAGCCGTGCTGTTAATTCATGATTACAGTTATTTATTTTATAAGATGCCCTGACATGTGTCAGCTACAAACAGTTTCTGAAGGCCAGTTTTGTAAGACTTGGTGTATGTAAGTCTCTATTCTGCAGGGAGGAGAGCTCCCTGAGGGAACCTTCAGGGACCGTTAGGAGAGGGAGTTGAGCTGCCAGGTGTTGGAGTAGTCGTTTAAAGCAACAAGCCAAAAGTGAAAGAGTTAAGCCTTTTATTACTTGCTGTGATGGTGTAAAACTGGAGAAAATACAGACTCCCCCATGTCCATTTCCCCCCATGGAACAGTGCCCTGGTTGAGAATCGAGGGATCAGTGCAGACATGAGGGTCATCTCACTGTTGAGGAAGCCCTGAACAAAAGGTGAACCTTTGTAATTGTCTATGGTTGGGCCTCAGAAATCATATATGGGTTTTTAATCAGGAGCCCGACTCCCTAGGGCATTAGTAGGCAAGGTCATGAGCTAGTCCTGGGATGAATGTAGGACTCATTTGGCAGGGGGATCTGAAGAAACGTAGTGTGGACCTGGTCCTGACTGTCCAGCAGAAATACTGTGAGGGGAAGAGTTGTCCCCTGTTTCCAGATTCACCACTATGTACCCTGGCTCTCAAGAGCATACTGAAGCAGAACAATTTCTGTAGGTGAAATGAGTGTCCTTAGCTGATGCCAACAGTAAGGCATGTAGAAGCCAAGACAAAATATAGACAACAATCTGTCCAGGCTCACTGGGGCTTTATTCTCAGGTTAAATAAAACATGAGGATCTGGGCATGAGTCAGTACTTGATTCTGGACTGACTGCTTTCTGTTGTTTGGTGTACATCTGTCACCTTGGCATTTTCCTTCACTACCCAGAGTTCTTTCATTGCTCTCTGATAATGGGATCTCTTATGCCATATCCTATGTATTCCACTTTCATGGTTTATTTTTTCACTCTGGTACATCTTCCATCTTCTAGAAGTCTTTGAGAATGAGTGGATGGGAGGTAAATTTTTCAGATCATGTATATTTGAAAATGTCTTTATTTTGTCTTCATGTTTGATTAATAGTTTTGCCGAGTATTGAACTCCAGATTGGAAATCACTTTCCTTCAGAATTTTGAAGGCGTCACACTATTGTTGCTTCACGTGGTGCTGTTCAGGCGTTCTTCAGTTATTCAGATTTCTAAATTTTTGTTTGTGACCTTTTCTTCCCTTTCTTTTCTGAAAGATTGTAGAATCTTCTCTTTGTCTCCATGGTTCTGAAATTTCATAATATGTCTTGCCCTAGATCTGTCTGTTCCCATTTATTATCTTAGTCGTGTGAGCGTTCTATATTCTAGGAAATTTTGTCAACTTTATTTCTCCAACTCTTCTATATTCAGTTTTTCATTTGTTATCTTCTAATTTTCAAGAATTTTAATTTGTTCTGTGAATGTTCCTTTTTTAAAAGAAATAGTATTTTATTTTTGTTTCATGGATTCAGTATCTTTTTCTCTGAGGGTACCAATGTTTTTTTCCCTCCCTAAATAATTTGGTATCTTCTAGTTCACTTTTTAAAATTTTTCGGTCT